CGAGATGCGGCGTGTGGACTTATCTGCATGGTTGACGCTCTACTCGAGTTACGCCCCTTGTTCTTTCTCGCACACAAGGCTCATCTGTGTGAGAGACGTGTGTGTGTGTGAGTTGTGTGTGTGGAAGAGAGGGAGAGAGGGGGGCAGAGGGGAGCAAAAGAGAGGGGAAGATCACGTGTTTTGAGAGTCGTGTTGTAAATCTGCGGTCCAAATGAGTGAGAGAGCGAGAGGAGAGTGGAGGGATAATGCAAGTGAGAGAGGGGCAGAGCGGAGCGTTGTTGTCCGGCCGTAAAACAGGAGCATCGTTGGCTCGAGTTATGGCGCCAGTCAGCGGGCCTGCCTCCCTGCCTCCCCGCTACGCTAAGCTCCGCTACCGCTCCTGCTCCTGCCAGCCCCGCGGGGCAGGTCGCAGTCGGGGAGCTGCTGCCGAGCCGCTAAGTGCTTCACACCTGGGGCTCGACCTGGTGGGGCCCGGCCCGCGCTGGGGGCTCGCCGCCAGCGGACAACCTCTCGCTCAACCGCATCTTGGCCAAGGGCTAGGAGGCCCCGCACTGTCAAGGACGCGCCAAGGCCAAGGAGCAGCGGCGGGGAGTGTCGCAGGTCGGTCGACTCTGGCCTCCAACCACACACCTCGGCAGAGCAAGGCGCCTCATGCAGGACAAACTCGTCTGATGATGATTACGAGTCGTGATGTGAGACGAGAGATATGAGGCGAGCCAGAAACACTGCGAGGGGGGCGCGGGGGGTGAGAGGAGAGGGAGCAGGGGGTGATTCGCAGGGAGATAGGGGCCGGTTGCGTGCCGCTGACACCACCAGTTGACACCGAGCCCCGCCCCGCCACGCGGAGACATGAACGCGCGGAAGTGCAAAAAGCCCCGTGGTAAGCATAACCTGGCCGCTCGGCCTCGGCGCGTCGCGAGGGGCTGGTCTTCCCTTCCTCCCGGCCTGGCACCACTTGTACTGCCCTGCGCCTCCCACGGCCGCTGGTAGTGGCGGGGCGGCGGCCCGCCTCAAACGCATGCCGTTAGCATGCCGCGATGACATGACGCGCGCGTCATCTGTTGTCAAAAAACTGAAGCGAAAGAGAAGAAAAAGGGGAGGGGAGGGGGGGGGGCAAAAATGAAAAAGCGACCGTCGGCGGATACATTTTCTCTCCCCAGCGTTCAGATGCCCAGAAACATGATTAGCTGTGACAACCGCGTCGTATGGTACGCTCAGAGACAACGATGAAATAATTGTTTATCCAACATTCACATGGTTTTGAGTACCAGAAATGTGATTTTGTCCACCTTGGTTGTTGTCGTAACCATCATTTTATGATTGGCCCTGAGCTGGAGCTGACCCACCACACGATGGTTCCGACAGGTGCGTGTCGGGCTGGGTCAGTGCGGCCCCAGGACTCCTCGCAGGAAGGTGTCGAGCATGGTCAGTGCCGAGCAGAGTCGTCATGGACGGCGTGGCGACGCATCCGGGGCCGACAGGGCCGACATGACATGAGCTGCAACCGCGACCGCCGCCTCTGCGAACTGCGGCGCGATGTGTGCGGTGGCGGCTGCGGCGGCTCCCACACCCAAAAACGAGCGACGCTCTCCTCGGTAATGAAGCTTAAAATCTGTCGCGGCTGGAGGGGCGCTCAGCATGGCGTGGCGGGTGGCCACGACGCGCACCATTACCGCCCTGTGCCCCGCGGGCCGCGCTCTGCCGAGGCCCGCTTACGCTTTGTCACAAAGTGCTGTTGGCAGTGGAAGGCGCGGGTGGTGCTGCACTTACAGTATATGGTGTACTGCCCAGCCTCCCCCCGGCCGGCCGAGGCTCCCATTCAAGGTCACGGCTCAGCAGCTCGTAATCGTGTACATCATCTGTGTCTTTCTAAAAGTCTATAAAGTTGTGTTTGGGACAGAACGGCCGACTCAACCAGAGTGTTTGGTGTTTGGTGTACAGTAGAGGCTGCGAAATGGCACCACACAAAAAGGATGAGTGTAATGAAATGGGATAGACCAAACTCCGCTGTTGCGCTGGTGGTCCAGGCCGCGGACGGCGATGAGCCGCTGAAGGTCGCGACACGGACCATCTCACGCCGGGCGATGGCCCCATTCATCGCGGCCCTCTGATTCAGATTCGCTAGGCTAGAAACCCCACAGTCTACTCTCTGGGCCTAGAGAGATGGGGGGAGGGGGGAGTGAGGGGGACGCGGGCACTGCAGGCCACTATCACTCGTAGCGGAAACAGATGCAGAGGCTGCCGCTTCCGTTTCACGCCGCCTCACGCCCACACACCACGTACGGCGGCGGCGGGCTACATGGCGCGGCCGGGGCCCTGGAGCCTGACCCCGATCCTCGCCGACCCACGACCTGGAGCCGGGGGACCTTGGTCGCGGGGCACTAGCGTCAAGGTGCATGGGGGCGGCCTCGGAGAGGATGGCTCCGAGTGAGGTGCTCATGCTCCTGGCATGGGGGATGACGAGGGAGGGAGCGAGATAGCAATCGAACGCCTAGAGAGGGAGGGAGAAAGCGAAAAGGGGGGGGGCGAGAGAGACAGACATTCAGACAGAGCGGTGGGGTTTTGCACTCGCGCTGACGAATGGCCTGTCCGTCCGCTCGAGTTAGTGGCCCGATGCTCTTTACGAATACACACACAGGGGGCTCCGAATCGCTCGGATACACATGCATAATCGTCACTGGTGCTGCTTACATTTTGTCGAGAGAATATTCCTCAGTTCGCCTTTCGAGCGAGCGTTCGTCGTCGGTGAGCGCTGTCCAACACACGCACACGCACGCGCATTCACGCACACGGTACACGCACGCACACTCAGAGCATGCCCAAGATCAATTGTTCCAGCATTCCGCGCAGATTATCCAAAACTCCGGTCCAGCTGGGCCAGCAGCGCGCTGGTCCTGGTGGCTGGATGCTGGAGGGCCGGCCGCACCGCCCGGCACCGCCCGCCACAAAGAGACGGGCCAGGGAAACAAGTGGCCGCATATGAACTGGTGAGAGATAAGGATCTCCCTCGCCCCGAGCAGGGCGGGCTTAGCGCGTCCAGCGACTTACTGCCTATTAGCTCGTTTTGATATCGTAAGGGTAGAAGGGGAAGCCTCTTGAGTTTATACCCTTTTATTTCCCGTCCATGAAAACCTCTGAGACGTTTTAAATTCCCACTTCCGCGTGAGGGGGAGTTTAATGTCTTGAATCAGACTAAAATAACCGGCTCACCACCACCGCCCCACACATGGCAAGGATGTTTTTTGCGTGGTTATGCTTATAAGCTATAAGGACCTATTAAGTAGAAGTAGACTATCGCATACCGCATGAGTAGCAGCGGCATACGAAACAATCCGCATCCTGCAATCCCCTGCCCCTACCCCCTCCCTCCCTTATCCCTCCCTAGGCTCCGCCAGTGCATCGTGCATGTCCCCGGGGATATTGCTCGCAAATGGCACGCCAGACATTAGACAAATAATTCCACCGCGGCATTCAAACAAAACTACTATCTGAGGTACAAGTTCGTGACTGCGCTCCCCCTCTGCGGCTGCACAGAGCGGAGCGGATTACGAGGAAGCAAGGACGACACTATCCACTGCGGCGGACCAGGAGGGGCCGACCGGTCTGCTATCGGCGCGACAAGTTATAGATCCGCCCTGCAATTCCTCCAGGCAGCGCAGCGGGTGGAAGCAGCAGGCGAGTGGTATAGATCCCCCGCAGATCCCCCTCTTACAGATCCCTCGGGATAATTGCTCATCCCAGGCTCGACCGGTCCGAACGCGGGAACAATGCCATTACAGGTCGATCCCGACTCATCGCGTGAGCTGAAGTGAAGCGCGCCCGTCGCTGATGGGTGGCGGCAGGGCAGAGCTGCTTGAGGTGGGTCTCGACGTGTCCGGCCGGCCGGCCCGGGCTCGCGCTGCCTCGCGGTTGCATAACGATGCTATACAAGATCACGGCCACGGTCGCGGAGACGGCGGCTCGCCACGGGCTCGCCACGCCACGCCACCCAGACGACCTGACGGCACCTGCCGCCCGCGGGGTCTTCCGCCCCTCACCTCCCTACCCCTTTCCCTGCCTCGCCCTCCCACAACACGCTACCTGCTGTATGTGGGTGAGCAGGAGGGCCGTCAGTGAGGGCCTAAGTGGAGACCCCCCCCCCTCTTCTGACTCA